GCGGGCGCGAGGGCGCCGCGGTGGAACAGCGCGACGCCGGCGTGCTTGTGGCGCGCGGCGACGCGCAGACGATCGCTCGTCGTCATCGCCCACACCTCAGCGACGTCGTCGGGGAAATCGAGCAGGCTCACGCGCAGACGCAGCCGCGCCGAGTCGTCGCCGCGATCCGCCGCGTCGCGCGCTGTTCTGTCTGCGGTGTGCTCGACAGGTTCGCTTAACGTTCTGTCTGTGATGTTGCCGGAACATTCGACGGGATCGCGAGCTGTTCCAGCCGCAGTGCGTTCCGAGGGATCGCGTGATGTTCTGTCTGTGGCATTTGTCGTGTGTTCCATGGGATCACACGACGCTCCATCTGCGGCATCTGCAGTGCGTTCTGCAAGATCACGTGATGTTCCGTCTGTAGTGTGTTCTGCGGGATCACGTGAAGTTCTGTCTGCAGTGTGTTCTGCGGGATCACGTGAAGTTCTGTCTGTAGTGTGTTCTGCGGGATCACGTGAAGTTCTGTCTGCAGTGTGTTCTGCGGGATCGTGTGATGTTCCGTCTGCCACGGCGGCGCTCACTTCACTCTCAACAGGGTGTCTTGTGCCTTCGTTATCTGCGCATCAAGGAAAGAACATTTACTTACAAGAATGACTTTCCTACAGGAATTAAACGCTTGCGTTTTTGTGTCTACACACGTGAAGCAGGTTGCCTAGATACATACAACCTTATTATAGATGCTCGGTTGTTTCCATTGGTGAGTACACTTACGGCCAGAGATTTAACAGAGAAAAACACACCAGGAACAGACTAAGATCAAGATGTTTTTCAAGTACTCTGGCTGCTGTAAGAGTGTATTTAGCTAGAATAAGATTGAATCGTCAAGAAGTTAATGTGCGCAGAAGTTTTCTGAATGACACGATCTACGACATGCAACCTCACGTAATAATAAACATAACCTCCAATAATTGCACTGCACTATACCGACTATACGATACATTTACCACACTACTATATATTTACGGGGTTCTAATACGCCACCTTCAGGCACAATAGCAGTGGAGGATCTTGCCATGACAGTTTTCCCGTCGTCTCCACAGACAGAGACACCTGGTGGTGCACGCCACACGGCCGGATGTGGGAACGAAACCTCGCAAACTTCTCCCCGTTTCATCGACTCCACACATTTGTCGATGATTTCGTCGATGGGTAGGTCGCCATCGCCTGAAGCATTGAAACTGAATTAAATCCATGCAATTTCCTTTAAAGTAATTATTACCAGAGTTTTCCAGTGTTCACCACTTTCATGATACCTACCGTTATTGCTTGAGTAACAGCAATTGTCCAGAGTAACGATAAAATGTCTTATAACCTTCGTATTCACCAAAACATGCAATTTTCGAACTAGTTTGGTAAACAATCGTGTGCTGTAATCTAGAAACTCTAGCCGGTAGTCTTGGACTAGCTAGTATAGCGCCGTCGCCTATCTGCTATAGACATAGTACAGTCTCTCTCAAATGCACTTGTTTTCAATTTATCACCGACAATTTACAAGTTTACCAATTCTGCCATTATTGCGATACGATAAAATGCATTGCTGTTATCAGGGTGGTCCACAACCTAAAATTCAAACATGTAAAACTGGGAACTTTAGAGAAGTACTTAAGATATAATTTGAAATGATGTGCGTGAAGCGCACATCACGAGCGCGAAGAGCGTAGTCACTTGCGGCCGGGGTCCAGAGCCCGCCTAACGGCCCTGGAAGCTCAGGGGTTTTAGATGCTCTCTGGTGCAATCTGAGCCATATTTTGGAGTATTTTTGCACAAAATTTGTGACCTATATTTCCAAATAATTTGGGTTGGGTCAAGAGTCATGAGTGATGAGTCATTTTTCATTGTTCAATTTGTATACTAGTGTGAATGTAACCAGTAAAATGTTATAAAGCAATGTGCGAAAAATGCAAATAAATGTACTATAAGGTGAAACTATATTGATAGAGTGTGGGTAGCATGCGAGTTGCGAGTTGTTAATTAAAAAATGGATGAGAAAAACATCTTCTTACCAAATTTAAAGCAAAGGTACCGCAACAAATAAAAACCTACAGTAGGTATAAAAACCTACAAATAAAAACCTACAAACAAAAGTAAAACCTACAGTAATATGGTTTATAAACTGGCGAAAAGAAATGCTATTTGGGTCTTTGAAAGACATGCATGGATTACTGGATTAAAACACTTAAAATGACCAGGACTGAAGCAGTTGTTCAAAAGTGGATAATTCAGTCGTATTCACTGGATAGTGATTTATCCAGTGGATAGCGCTATCCACTTTTGAACAACCAGGGCCAGGCTGTTTCGACCAGGCGCGTAGGCCCTTGAGCTCGCATGATCCCCCCCCCCTAGAATTCACTTCTGGATCTGCCACTGCATAATGGGAGTAGCCGAAATGGGAATATTGCCGATTCTGAGAGTAGACGAAATGGGAATAGGCGAAATGGGAGTAGGCCAACTGGGATGTTACCAGATAAACATATAAGTGACATTTTTTGCTGATCAAGCAGTCGACTCTAGGGCTTTGTTAGAGGTACGGTCAGCCGGCCCAAACAGCCAACCTATAGTATTTTAACTTTTTTTACGACAGGTAATTCATGGGAAAAATAGTTAAGCATTGAGGTTAAGTTAATAGTTAAGCATTGAGGTTAAGTTAATAGTTAAGCATTGACTTACTAATGCGAGTTGCAAATGATAAATATCTGGCAATATATGGTACTATCCCAGTACTCGACTCGCAACTTGCAACTCGCAGGTTACCAACGCTGATATTCAGGCCTCGAATTAAGCGACGAGAGGGGCAAGGCAATTTTTTGGGGGCATGTGAGAAATTGCCTTGAATTTTCTCTAAAATGGATGGGCACCGAGGTAATTTTAAAAGGCATCAAGGCAACTCTCACAATTTGAGAAGGGCACCAAGGCCATTGTTATGGAAAACTTTGTGTCATCGTATGAATTCTACTAAAATTTCTCTAAATTTACTGCACTTAGCAAGCTACACACCGTACAGATCACTGGCCATTCTTGCGCGAGCGTCGTTTCCCGCGCTTTAAATCGCACGCGGGCCGAGTCCGGCCGTGCAGCATTTAAATATTCGTGTTCTACCACGGGCATACACAGGTGCACTATTTATCGATCGTCTACTGGCAGCGGTTGGCAGCAATACCACGTTATTGTTTTTGCCGCCGGGTAGACTGGTATCCGGCCTCACGCTCTGCTAGAGAATGTACACGCTCTGCGACAAACAGTGCGGCCGCGAACCAGTCTAGCCAGAGGCAGAGGCACCGACGGCAATTACAGAAAAGGGCAAGGCAGGTCACTGCCGTCGGTCGGGTTGGATTTTCAGGGGCAGTACGGCGATTGATAGGGGCACCGCCGACAATTGCCGTCGGTGCCGTCGGTTAATTCGAGCCCTGCTGATATTGATATGAGGCTCAGGACAAGTGAAACTCTATGTCGGGTCTATGTTGGCTAGTTGCCCAATTGGACAACTAAAAAATTTCTAGTTGCGTAATATTCCTAACATCCTTTGAGCCAGGGCGCTATATCACGACAAAGGACATTCTCACATTATATTTTCAAAGGTCGCCGAAAAAAACTCTCGTAATAATGGCTTTAAAACTTCGCCGATTATGGATTAACGCTACTGCGTGATATTTAAATCACACATCGCTCTACAGTTGGTAGGGTTTATGTGTGTGTGTGTGTGGGGGGGGGGGGCTACGACGGGTCACGTGGTTATGATGCATTTGGAGAGGAATCATCACTAACCTACTGTTATCTCCGTCGGAACGCCTAGCTTCACAGTGCATGTCTCCTCGTCCAGTGCGCAGTCCGTTAGCTGATTTACGACGACTTGACAGGTGGCGCCCTCTCTTGGTGCTGATATTCCGTGACCATGCTCAATGATATTCTTACTGAAGGATTTATCAGGGGGCTGCCATAGCACCGTGTCAACTAGATGATCCCACCGAGTATCAGGTTTCATGCCTGCAATGATGAATGTCAATTGCCGCCAATGTAAAATGATTTCCCACCGTTACCATCTTAATGCGATCAAAAATAACTGCATATTTTTGCCATAAATTTTCGTTTGACTTAAATCAAGCTTTTTGCAAATTGCACGCAATGGTTAGGGTTAGGGTTAGGGTTAGGGAGTAGGCGTAGGCGACTCCCTAGACTCGTTAGTGGAGTAGGCGAGGTACGGTCCGGCATATTAGATAGTACAAGGGTATGTTCCGGCAGTACCCTGGGGGACATAGACTCTCTCAGCATAACTAATTGCCCAAGTCCCAGACTTTAACAATTAGCTCATCAGTGCAAAGCAATAGGGCCTACATGTATTATAATGGTAAAAACACAGATAGATGCACACATGGTGTCAAGTATTAACAGCTGAAAGTATGCATGATGTAGCTTTGGATGTTGGTCTAATCAGCCTTTAGAATATGTTGTCTTGGTTTTCAACTCATGCATAAAGTAAATAGCTGAACTTGCTTGCATAACAAGTCCATTATAATGCATAACATAATCTTGTCGACACGAGACCCACCTGCAGGCTGAAACTGGAACAGCAAATGGAACTGTGGGCAGCGTGCTCCCAGATTGAATTATTTCACAGCTGTTCCAACTTCCATCTTTGCTTAGCTGGTTGTCTCTCAGGCCTCGTTTTGCACCAAGTGGCAGTTCATGCAATCCACCTGTGAAGAGGCCACAGAATATCTTAGAAACCTAGCACTAGTTGAGCAGTTGTTGGTGTTGATTTCCTCCATCATGTTGTTGCAATCATAGCGCTCAAAAACGAGGCTGAAAGTGTGCTTTTCGACAGTTGCTTCGAAAAGGCGTTGACCGAAGCCTCATCAGAGATTGTGTCGACCTCAATGGACCACATGGTGACCTCTCTCCATACGGCGTGACCGTTGGTAAAAAATGTTTCTTGTTTTCATTCCCGATTTGTGATCGGTTTGCCCGATGTGTTCAGAAAATTCCTATATATAGCTGACATACTCATGACAGCAAGATATGATTGAATGAAAACAGTGCTGCATTTTATACCGTTTTTAAATTATCACATTTCAGTTCTACGACGTTTATTGTGACTTTCTGTGAACCAGGGTGATACTCCATTAGGAATGTTCCCAAATTTAATGTCATTAATGGTCATAATAACATATATATCAAGAGCTAATAATACCTATTAAGGTATATTTATACCTAAGAGGTATTATTAGCTCTTGATATATATATATATATATCAGGAGTAGATAATAGGGAAGGAGTGTGACATCAATAAACAAGGGAAATTCGTCATTTACTAGCCTTAAAATACTTACGCTTTTACTACGCGTAACTCAACCAACTTGAGCTCAAATCGTACACAGTACATTCGCCTAGCATCGTGCGAATCGTTTCCTCGTTTACACAAGCAATCCGGAGATACAGACTAAAACGTACGACACGATTATCCATTCTTTGGCCATCAATCCAAAGCCATTGCGCGCCTCTAATTCAAACAAAAGGCAGCTACATAACCACAGCTTGCTAACTCGGCGGGTAATGTGGCTCGCTGGGAGATTTGAGCCCGATCAGCTGCTGCTGATTGCGGTTGGCGTGCGTGCGTGAGGGCATGTGCAGAGGTGGCTGCTGTACGCCGGTATGCCTGTGTACCGGGTCAAAGGTTATCTCGCCGAGTGTTGATGCCTAATCTCCCAGCGAGCCACATACCTCGCCGAGTTAGCAATAGCGCGTTAGGTAGCTGCTTTTTGTTTGAATTAGAGGCGCGCAATGGCTTTGGATTGATGGCCAAAGAATGGAGAATCGTGTCGTACGTTTTAGTCTGTATCTCCGGATTGCGGGTGTATACGAGGAAACGAGTCCGATTTGAGCTCAAGTTGGATGAGTTACGCGTAGTAAATCGTAGGTATTATAAGGCTAGTAAATGACGAATTTCCCTTGTTTATTGATGTCACACTCCTTCCCTATTATCTACTCCTGATATATATATATATATTATATGTATATATATATATATGGTCATGGTCATATCAGGGCTGCCAACTCTCATGCATTGACCGTGAGACTCACGCATTTTGACCAAATCTCACGCTCTCACGCTGATCTTACAATATCTCACGCACAGCAAAAAAATGCTGAGATATCTCACGCATGAATATCTCTTCATGAATAAAACGCTGAAATATCTCATGCACAGCAAAAAAATCTTACAATATCTGAAAACACTCACTTTAGTATGCACCAAATTGCACAAATTAAAGTTGTAAAATGCAAAAGCTCCCTACCGTGGGAGGGAGGGGGAACCCCCCTCCCATACCCATCCCCCACTCGGTCGCTTCGCTCCCTCGCATCTCACTCTCGCCTAACACCCAATGTTGGCTGCCCTGTCATATATTAGTTTGTGGTTTAATGTCATTTAGGTTAGGGTTAGGGTTAGGAACTTAATTAGGGTTAGGGTTAGGATTCTCAATCATTATTATAAATCATTAATGATATCAAAGTTGGAAACACTCCTAATGGAGCGTTAGCCGTGAACCATTGGCATAGCCTAATCTTCCAAGTTCTGCTGATAGGGTCTATGTCCCCCAGGGTACGGTCCGGTATACCGAAACGTACCCTGGTACTAAATACTACTATCTAATATGCCGGACCGCACCTCGCCTACTCCACTAACGAGTCTAGGGAGTCACCTACGCCTACTCCCTGACCATAACCCTAACCATAACCCTAACCATATCAGCTAGATAGTTACCAGGGTACGTTCCGGTATACCGGACCGTACCCAGGGTACGGTTTGGCAGTACCCTGAGGGACATAGACCCTATGCTGCCTATCAGCCCAAGTTCTAGTACAATAATTATGGCAATTAGGCATGGATTTCGGCGCAAATACACTTTCCTACCGGTCAATATGGCGGCACCCGACTCCGAACCCCCTACCGCCCCGCCCCCGCACACACGCTAATCACTATCAGTATCACGCTATGGCCGGTAGGAAAGTGTATTTAACTATTATATCTCGCGAACGAGTTGAGTTACGTTTCTAGAATTCTACGTGCATGTAGACACCACTGATCTGTACTATACAAAAAAAGTTAGTATAGTAGAGATTAGTGGTAGACACATGTCTTAGCCCTAATCTCAGTGAGTGATACTGACCGGTAGGAAACTGTATATGCGCTCAACAACAAGATGAACCGGCCATTTGCGCTTTTGTTTTCAAATGTAACCCAACAAGAGTAGGCCAGTTTTGTTATTACACTTCTTGAGTTACATTATTGTATCTAGCAGCCTCTATGCTCCGTAGCAAAGCCGGGCGTTATGATCGCAGTGATATCATAATTTTTAATACAATAATACAATAATAACTAAAAATGAAAACAATTTTTCGGAAGTAGGATTAGGCAAGTGAAATGTCCGAGAGATGGCGGTAGCGCCGCTACACAATATCATTACGATTTACGTTTTGAATGTATTTAGTATTTTTAGAATAGCTTTTAGTTATTTTTGGGCATCCTCTTGTAATTATACGGACCGCTGCAGCATGGGAGGAACGTAACGTTCAACTGTCGAACTGAATGTCTGCCCCAGTAGTGCTGTAGTACAGTGTCAGTAGTATACTGTATAGGAGTCAGGACTCTGTACTGCACGTAAAAATGTTTGTTCTTACCGACATGACAGACGTGGTCAAAGTGCCTCCGTGGATGTTCAATCTGAAACTAAATGAAGCAGTTGAACAAGAGTTAAACAAAAAATTTGCTAACAAGGTAATGACCGGAACTAGCTACGTATTACTGCTATGTGAGAAACAGTGGCGTTAGTATCACTCAGGCTAGCTAGATACAATAATGTAACCCAAACCCAAGAGGATAGGGGTATCCCTATATCCTCTTGGGTTTGGGTTACATTATTGTATCTAAGGCTAGCCAGAAAAATAAACGTAGCCTAATAAAGGTTAGTCTTCAAATTCCAAGGGAATATATCGAAGACGGAGACAGACAAAGTTGATAAAATAGACAGCATCACTGTGGATTGCAGTGTAAAAACTTCAATTCTGCAATTGACCAAAGAGGAAGGACAATACTTCCAATATGGAGTGAGAGATAGAAGAACCAATACTTTAAGGGATGCTTTGAAAATGGCACATGTCGAAAGCAATGATCACCCTCAAATCATTCAGTGCTACAAACAGAAATGCCAATCTTCACTTCACCATGATAAACTTTATGAAATATGAAATATGTTGGACGAGCTAACCTCCAGTTCACCTCACTGTGATTTTGCCATATCGGACTGTTTACCGAATGCAAAAAATGATGCTAGCAATAATTGCTCCCAAATTTAAGTTGAATTTAAGGCATGTTCAAGCGCTAGTGAGTGGGTATTTGCATTTCATCACCGGGTGTACCAACTAATACATGTAATGTATAATTATATAGTTGTTTTTTTTTACATTTATAGGTCGTACATAAGCTGGGTCTGTGTATAGCTTTGTATGACATATCCAAGCTTGAGGACTCGCATGTTTTTCCAGGTGATGGATCATCTCACACAAAAGGTAAACTAGTGTTCGCTTATATTTTACTTCATTCCAAATACCCTGCAACATATTGACACTACAACAGGCTTTCATTTTTAAGGGGCGCGATCGCGCTCGCGCTCCACTGCGCACCCGAAATTGTGCCATGGTGCGCGCATCATCGCGCCTCATAAAAGTGGTTGAAATCGCGCACGAAAAGTATGTATATTATGTTGAAATAGCGCTCCATAGAGTTCTCAATGTAGGGGGGTACAAAAGGGTTAGCAACATACAACAATTTGTGGTGTGTAAGTGACTGAACGTATGGCAGAGGTACAGGTCTGGTTACTACCCTCAGGTTTATATATATATATAAATACAACTAAACAACAGCATCCAAATACAGGTACCTATACGGTAGCCACAAGTTACCTGCTCGTTTTCTACTATACGTGGCGAGAAGTGGTTTTCTGCTGACGTGAAACAGTCGTAGGGCTGGAGGGGCTACATACGTGGCTACTACGTACAAGTAATTTGGCTAGTTTGTTGATGGATTGTGATGATATTTTGTGCTGAAATATGCAGGTACATGGATTAGAATCTCTAAGGATGGAAATCAGAATAATTAAAACAAGTTTATTTTTACATCCGATC